GGGCGGTGAAAATCCGACATTCACTTTCGGACATTGGAGCGACACTTTTCGCCAGCAATGACATCAAATGATCATCCTGAAGCCATTTTCCAGCATTATATCGTAGCAGTTTATTCCATGTATCTAAAAAACGCTGGTCATTATTTCGTGACATCAAAACAAATGGCGTGCCTGGTTTGCAGGGGCGGGGTTAAATCCAATAGAAAACATTTAAGCCATTTTTACCAGAGAGGTGCACCAGCACCCCAGATTTTACACTGCCATTCAAAAATTAAAAGCACTGTTCGGTATAAAGTAGAAGAATCACGCCACAGGGGGGATTAAAACAAAGCTACTAAAGGGTTATAGACTCTTGAAGGTAATAATGATCTGTCATTAGTATATATCAAAAGGTGAAACAAATAAGCTCCAACAAACACAGAATTGTGTGTTAGTAAGGCCACAAAAAACCTAGTGCTCAATAATGTTCAAATTTTGTCTGAGATCATTATATGAAACAATTTTCTGGTTTTTAGTGTTAGGCTTTATACATGTTCTCCATGCGTAATCAAGACAGTTATCCAAATTTATTTCAAGATTTTAAAATTCGGTAGACCGTATATACTGCAATTCTATGTGTGGTTGTAATTGCAGTTGTACAACTTGCATAGACTTACAAGCTTACATTTTGGGGAGTTGTCTGAAAAAGTCTGGACTCAGATGAGTATGAAATAAAATATCTAGTAATATAATCATTTATATACCATCTTTGAACTAAATCATCTATGCATTCCATGAAATTATCTATTTAGTTTGGAAATTGCGATTCTTTCAATATTACCCTAAAACATCAATTTTAATTGATAGGCAATAGAAGAAACTTTGAGTACATTTTTTAGAGAAACATTCATTCACCTTTATTGATAAAATCACTGAACCGATCAATTGTGCATTTTTATTTTAGGTAAATATATCTGTAAAGCCCCTCTGGCATGAAAATAAGTCATGAGTGAATTAAAATATTTTTCACAGTCTCGCTTATCATCTTTGTCCAATCAAAGGCTTGTGTTAAAAACCAGGATAACATTTGGTACGCATGTGGTGATTGCTTATGAAGTTTTTTTAGCACTACAAAATACATGAGCGTAAGATTTAAGAACTATGACGTATTTCTTCTTTATATTTTAGGTCATTTGTTAACTTTGATTCAGCTCTTTCAACTAAGTCAACAAGAGAAAATTTTACTCTCTTTTGTGTAATCCCATCGGATTTTAACTTTTTATTGCAATTCGTTTTTTACTCGGAGCTCAGTTTATTATTCATTATTTTTAATATTATTATTATTGTAATCACTGCATGATAATTATTCTGTGAACAATCATGTTTATTGTTTGTATTTTGCCTTCACCTCACTGCAGCCTCTCAACGCGGTCTTAGGTAACGTGGCAAGCCTAGATAAGCTGGATCTCTTGGCCGAGGTGTCAAAACAACAGTTTCAGATAGCCAACTTGGAAAACGCCAATCGAGAATTAGAAATGCAAGTGGAACGTCTGAAGGCAAGCTTCCTCTTTGTATCTGTGCTAATACTTCTGTTCAGCTCCAAAGCATTATGTTTTCGTGTCCATTCTCTTTCACAAACCTGAAACCACATTACATTGTGTCATTATTTTTTAATTTTTGTTCTCTGTCGTTACCACACTTTTTCTACACAACTGAATTCAATTTCAATTTGAAAAATTGACTGTTGATGGTTTTTTTTATTAATAGCAGCATTTATATCTGATAGTCACCTTATCTTACGCAAAAGTGATAGAATATTGAGGATGTAGTTGTTAATGAACCAATACCCTGACACTTCCTGGTATTAAATAATTGAGGATATCTTCTATTATTGCTTTTACTTAGACAAACCGATAGTTTGAGTTTGGAACATCAAGATTAATGTATTTTCATGGTCCCATTAAAAGAAGGTATGTGTTCTAGTTAAGTTAATGTTAATTGGGACGTTTTACAACAAGAATCGATCATTCGTAGGCCTAATATTTTAAATTCCAGTGACAGATTAACGTTTTATAATATAGCGTTGACTTTAAGCAAGGGTTACGAGTATTACCTTGATTGTTCAGATGTGAAGAGCTTCGAGTTACCAGTTCTTCATTCCCGGGTTGTTATTGTTCAAAAAAGATGATTCAGCTGAGCAATGCCTCGAACAATATTCATGGTGAATGGCATGTTGATTTGTTCAGCATAATGTTTAAATCAGACATAAAAATAAAGACCCAAAAGCAAGGTTTTATTCATTGATTTACGACGCTGTTAGAAGACCTTTTTAAGGTCAATATTTTGACTTATAGAGGGAATGCTCAAGGTTCTGATCGAAAATTCATATCTTTATGTCTTTATCTTGTAGCTAGTTCATCTAAGCATTTATGAACCTATTACTCTGAGCTTTATGCACAATTATACCTAATTCGAATCCGACCCTGTAATCGTAACAAGTTGAGTTTAGTAAATGAACAGAATCTATCAGAATCCTTTCACATATAATGAAACAGATAGCCTGATTACTCTTAACTTTTATTTTCAAATTACATTGTAAATACTCAGAATTGTCTCCACAATAGTCGTCAGACCGTTTTATTCAATTTTTTCTCATCGCTTTTAATAAAGCGGATATTAGGTGGAGTAAAAAAGGGGAGTTTAGATGCGGTAAATTAAACTCCTTATTTATTACAGTTATCACATGTATCGTGAAACACGGAAAATAAACCCCATAATAATAACTATTGAAACAGACAGTTTGTTGTTAACTTCATCTCATCATTGACTGATTTCTAGAGAAACTTCAGTCAACCTCTGGTTTGATTAGTTTACCATTAGGTGTAGAGTTTTTATATTAGTTGAATCTTGACTGTATAGACCGGTAGCATCATTATACTGAACTTCACAGTTATTTGGGACGACAATGACTAACTACTTTCCCGCTCTTATATGATCTCTCTTGATCTGTTTCATGTCGGTTCAATTAGATAACACAAATTATGCTCATGCTTTGTGTATACAAGTGTTTCCAATGCATTTTGAAGATAAGGCTTATGATGCCACGAAATTGTCTTTTTCTTAGATCTATTTTGTGAACCGTTGTCGGATGATGATTTATAAATGAATAAACGCAGTTCGAATTGTGATATAAAATTTCTTTGGATAAAGGACAGTAAAACTCAGTCACTACATGAATTGTTTTCGTTCCAGGATGTTGGAACGTCAACTTTTTCTCCACTGAAAAGTTTTGTTTTATCTGCTCTCATCACAGTGTTCAACGTTAATCCGTTCTACACGTTCGCGTTGAATAAACATGGGTTAGGAGCCAAAATCATCAACGCCACCGACTATCAACAAATAGTTAGCACTGCAAGTGATGACAATGAATGCTCCAATTAAGTTAATTGTTTATCATGTGATGGAAGCCCAAAAAGGCTTCGGTTTTGATGAGCAATGAAGAAACATGTCAAGTAGATTAGATTGGCAGTACAAGGAGTGCATGATAATGTAATTTCTTGCTAGTGAAGTTAGTTTGAAGTTCTGCATTGCGCAAATTAGATCTTTTCTGTATGAATTTCGGCAAACATCATTTCATTTTAACTTCCACGATGAGCAAGAAAATTGGAATACCTGCGTTTTGCGAAGAAAATCAGAAGTTTGGCTAATTATTACTTGCTCTACGCGTTGTAGGGCAAGTATTGATCATTCTAGTAAAACTACGCCGGATTTTAAAGTATCAAAAATACCACGTCGTTAAAGCAACCTTCCAGATTCACTAAAACAAAATCTATGTATTGTTCTAGTGATTTACCAAAACCTTTTAAAGTAAGAATCCGAAAAATACACCCCTTTTTCTGTTTGCCAAAATGTACGATGAGACGAACAAAAGCATCGTTGTTGTTCCAGTTTCCGCATCTTCTCTTTTGCCATATTGCTATGTTTATTTTGAAGGAAGTGCTACGTATATAATGTAAATATTGAGGTTCGAAATTATTTTTAATTAAAATTCATTATTTAACATTGTTCGATATTTTACTATCAAAATGTTTGTCGCAATGTACCTTTCCATTTGTTACAACAGCGACAGCTTACGTTCATCCAGCCTGGTTTTGAATGGGATGAGTTTGGGACAGCAAGCCTTGGAATAAATACTTTGAGGGAAGTAAACAGAATGAGCCCGGAAGAAGCTAAACTGGGTAAGATTTGAAGCGAATGGTAGTTTTTCAAACTAATTATTCATGATTTTGAATTGTCTATTCCTCAAATATAGATCAATACGAACAACCCACTTTGTAGTAGTATAGACGTGCTTGTTCAGTGTCCGCGTATTTTTATTCTTCAATTTCCATTATTAGTCATGACAAAACAATGTGGTAGGTTGAGCTGGTTGGAAACGGTTCAGTATAAAACTCAATCAGGAAAATTCTTATGATACCCAGTATCGTTGATAAGTGACAGCCTGAGCTTCCGCAATGTTATTATTCTATACTGTTAATCAGACTTCAAAAAATATCTCCTATTCATAGCTAAATCGGTAAAAGCGAACTTTCCATGGAAAAATCACTTCGCTCGCATACGTTATTACTTTATGGTGATTGGTTCTATTAACCAGTCATGGATTTACCTTTTTAGTGCATTACACACTGATAATCATTTAGTGTGGCACTTTTGGAAATACAAAATTTTATACATGTCATTATTAAGTAAAGTCATAAACGAAGGGTAAAAAAGAAGAAAAGATCTACCGCTGATGGTAACCTTCACAATTTGCGAGCTTCCCCCCTCATCCATTTTGCAGTTATACCATTTTGTGATCAACATGCAACCCAACAGTCAACAGGACGGTCGAAAAGTCTTAGGACTTGGTACAGTAGACTAACCCACGAAGATTCAAATAGACCAGGAATGGCATGAACAGAACGATAATTAAGCTGTCTACCAACAAAGCTGGAAAGTGTTGGTAGGATTTGTTCCACAAACTTCAAGACCAAAGGTACGCAAGCAAGAACAAATTTAACGAATTGATCTTCACTACCCATCAAAATGAGTGTGATCTAGCGGACCTTAACGTGAAAATAAGTACATCACTTATGACGGTTCGGTCATTCATGTTCTACTCCCTATAAAAACACTGGAAATTGTCTCTGATGCTCAGTTTTGGTGGTTTGGACACCTAACCCACAAAACACAAGAGGATCATAACAATGATTTTTTACCTCGAATAAACCCCCTGAGTTGCAAATGAATCTCCCCCGTTGCCTTATGTTGCATTTATCTATATAGCACCAATGCGATTAATTGAGACCGCTTCACCATTAAGTAACAGATAGTTCGCAAGCCTTGGTTTCCGGACACAAGAGCACATTTCTTTCTATTTGTATTTAAGGTGATAAAGAAATGCCACTTCTCGTTAGAATTGTTTTGTTCCCGAAATGCCCAGTCACTGATGCAGAACCGCAAATAGTATCAAGCGGAATTGCTTGACATTTATGACAGGTTTATTTATTTTCACTCGGGGATATTAAATGTCGGAATGGCCGATAATATAGGCTTGTACCATTTGGATAGACCATATTGAATTTTTAGTTAATTCAAGCAGCAGCGCATCTCATCAAATCACACCTACGTTTCGACTGTACAATCACTCAGTTTCTCCCGATAGATTTATTTCAAGCATGATCTCGTCTGAGATGGATAATACAGCTGTTACATGTCCGAATTGAGCCAATTGAAGACAGAGACCGAAAAGGAAGAAAGAAATAACCACCAGCAAATCAGCAATGGCTTAACTCTAGCTTAAGTTCGAACACACGTGATTTATTAATTTCATTATATTCTGGAAGCCACCTACATAAGTAAAATGAAGGCATAACTTCTAACTGAGTGGAAAGATATGTTAACACGAAACAGGAGAATGGAACATGAGTGCTTTTGTCATAGATTTCACGTTTGATAGCCGATTTCTGACAACACATTGGCTAAAAGGTGTCTAAACCGGTTGGCGTAAAATCACATTAAAGTTTGCCAGTACAGCTGAAGAAAATATCATCTTATTATTGAGCCTTTCCTAGCGTCCACAGAAAAATCTTCGTCTGAAACTAAAATTGATTTTGCTTGATTTGACTGGCTATCCTTCGGATTTCACCTTCACGCACAATCCTCAGTTCATCGATTAAGCCAATGCTCTGGGAAATATGGCTCTCACATGTTTTGTATTCGTGGATTCTAATACCAACAACTGGACATAAATGTTATTTTATTAGGAAATTTATCAAAGCTATTTATTCTGAATCTGGAACTTTCCTTTTTTATAAAGATCATTGTACTATTGTACTTGTTTGGCACACATTCTGAATTCAGACGCGCTTGAGGTACACACATGCATTTTAAACACTGTAAAACCTCTGCAATCTCAGACTCCACTAGGTTCGTATGTAACTCATGTAAACAGTAATGGGAATTAAGTTCTTGTTTTTATCACTCAAATCGATAGACATTAGGAAACGTACTGTCAACCTAAAACTAAAGAGTCATCCGTTAGTACTTGCTNGTTAATGCATAATATTGTAATATTCTCTTTTTGTTGTACGGGGGCTAATAGTTTGATTATTCTGAGACTTCCACAATGACGGAGACTTGGAATACATAAATGACAAAACAGAGTATGTAAAAGTATTTTAAAGCTAGTTTGAAACAACAAACCTTTCCCACGAATTCCACATGACACTCCTCTCGATGAATAGAAAATAGTATCGACTGTCCATTTGTTTTCACAGGTGTTTCCATGGACGATGGAAGACATCAGTTAAATGTAAGTTGGTTAGTCGAATTTCTTCGTGATATTTGGACACCCGTTTGCAAGCTTTAAATTCCTCCTTAATCCAGTGTTAAGACTGAAGCCCCACTGTTTATGATTTTGTGCACTATCTGAGAGTATCTAAGACTTTATCATTTACAAGAGTATTCTTTAGTTTAGTTTATTTTACAATGATACTAGGCCCATTACAGACTGTTGAACATGCAGCCTTAGATGTTTCATGTACATTATGTCCTTCATAGGAGGTTCGCGCTTTACTAATGGCTTTTTTCCATTTTATTTTATTTTCAGGACCGAAAACTGCTTCACATGTCGAACACAGGTGAGAGACTGCAGAAGGACCTGCTCACCTTAATCTAGGGGGGAGTTGAATAAATCCCAGTTAAATTTATGCTTCCCATTCATTGTTTTTTCATTGGGGTTTCCTTTATACTTAAGATCCCACTACCTTGATCCAGGTGATATATTGGTAATTAAATAAACATTTAATCTTCGCTAACCGGTTTTTCCATTTCTCAATCGTACAACAGAACAGATGTTTCACCTGGTTCGTTGTCCGCTATCTTTGTTCATAACATAAACTGGAAGATACCTACGTAAATTTCTGCAGCACGTCCGACGTTTCCAATTCGAGCTATTGCGAAAACATGCGACAGAATCTTCTGATACTCACCGAGGAACACCTGTAACAAATGAGAGAAGATTGTAAAATTTAACTTCAGGTTCAGGGTGTTATTTTAGCACAAGTGTACCCTATTTCATTTCTAAGTCAAAGTTTTATTATGGGTGATTTAATAGGATTTTAACAGAATAGTTTGAATGACTTCACGAAGAGAAAATAATAATAATATAAATTTGCGTATTCCCTCAGGGATGTCAAAATTTTAAGTGTTCCGATGCTTAATCAAGTTTCGATTTAAATAGTTCAACTATAGAAGCACAGACTACGTCGCACACTCTGACTGCAAACGAGTGATGCCGGCAATCAAGGTGGCTGTTCTGGGTCTTCAATTTTAGTGGATGTCCCCTGAAGTGATCATTTTTAGATAAAGTTAGCATAGAATGGCAAGGGTGTTTGGGTTGATGCAGTATGTAACATGCCAAGATTAGGTCCCCCCCGAAGTCGGCAGCATTGAGATGAGTAAGTTTCAGTATTGGCAGTCTTGCCTTACAGACCTTTTATCAATTTTGTTGCCAGCCTTTGCGGACGTTCTAGAGGCTTCTTGTTGCGGTTTAACCATGGATTTCATAATTGAACGGTGTACTCCGTGTGTGGCCGAACGAAAGCTGATAGCAAGCGTGGGAACAGTGCTCTTTCGAACTGTTTGAAAACACGTCTGAGTAGTCCAACTTACTTTATAACCATAGATGATGCTCTGGCACTGTGCGGAACATTCTACGTTCTCCTGTACCAGAACTCCCAAATCTTTTTCGTCAGTGACATGCGGTAGTATTGGGTTCTCCAGAACATAGGAGAAATGAGTCTTGTGCCACATGGAAATGACTCTGCATTTGGAAACGTTGAACTCGATGTGTTTGGCCATTGACCATCGATGGGCATCATCGATCTTTTGTTGGAGTGTTGTATAATCATCTGGATGTGTTACAGTTCTCCAGATCTTAGCGTCGTCCGCAAATGGCAGTGCATTAGGCCCAAGGGCATGTGGCAGGTCGGTTGTAAATGCCAGAAAGAGACGAGGCCCCAGTACAGATCCTTGAGGAACCCCTAGGGCAGCGTTGATACGCTCTGATAATGAATCACCAACACGAACTGATGTGGTTTTCTGTCGGAGAAACTCTTTGATCCAGTCCAGAACTATCCGTTATTTTAGTCTGGCACAGTATTGTGAAGAGAGCAATTATAATAACGAACCAGCTTTGTTTATACTATTACGGCTGCTATGGATGGTTAAGTCAACTTCAGATAATCAGGCTTAAATAAACCTTAGACGTTCAAACTTCCTATCAGTGTCAGGAATTATTCATATTTAAACAAACTGAGTGTTTTCTATTAAGGATACAGGTCAGTACGAACTTTTAACCCTTTTTAAGTTTTCGTTTTTCTCATTGTGACTAAAGATTTCGAACAGCTAGCTTAGTCTTTTAAAGGTTATGACCACGTTCATGAGGAAACGAATTGCAGTTATAAATGAGACAAAATTTAGTAAGCTCCGATTAAAGGTTTTCTATATTTTCCCAGCATTTTCGTAACTACTTTCTCAACTTGAATTAATTTCCTTATTTCCGTTTTGGAATCCATCTTTGGAAAAATCTATTTTGGGTTATAAAATATGTTGATCAGACTCGATATTTCAAAAATGCCAGTGTAGGAGATTCGGACTAGTTACTCTCTATTTTAGGATAATAAATGTTCTGTTTTTGTTTTCTTTTTCAGGTCAACTCGGAATCCCTCCAACATCCAGTTCACGTTATAACCCTCTGTACAACCACAAGAGTCTAGCTAATTCTCGCTCATATATGCTTTCTCCTACTCTGAATTCAACAAGCCCTCAACCACCAGCCGAACATAGCTGTCTAGACCCCATTGGAAGAACATTACAGAATGAGGATACGCAATATTTCCGTCCTAGCCTAATCGGTGGAGGTCAGTTCAAATCAGTTAGTCTTAATGAGCTTCGACATCATCGTGTGCCTCAAATTGAGGGCACTTTACTGCATCGTATTCCCGGGCCCATAGATTGGACAGACAGTTATCGTGGCTATCCACCGTTTTCATGTGAAAGTCCGTATACATCGGTTTATGCCTCGCCTCCACTACACTCACCGCAAATCCCAGGTTTAGGTCCGTTAGACCGTTTACCTCCTCAGTATGCCAGTAATTATCATAGACAAGCGTATCTCACCACTCGAGCCCGTAGCCCTCCACCAACGCGAACTGACGATCGAGCCCAGGAAACTCGTGATGATTCCGCTGGACGACATATTTCGGACACAACAAACGCTACAGAATCACACTCTAAACCCTCATGCGACACAAAATCTCTACCCATAAGGAGAAGCACAGCTCCACTGCCTGTGCCTGAGGACTTGAATAATTTTCCGGTGAGTTTTATGGCTTTTAACATTTTGTAACACCTTCATGAAATGAGCTACCACGGTCTATTATTTAATAACTAATTCACTTATCAAATCAGTGTTATTTTCATGCTTCACGAAAAGCAATATAAATGAAAATGACTACATACAATTTTCATTCAATGGTTCTATCAATTCATCTGGTTTTGTCAAAGCAAGAAAGGTGAATGAACGTTCAACTCTAGAGATGTAGCTGAAAAGTTTGTCCTTTTTAGCCCCACTCAAATAGTAGTCATTCTACAGACTCTGTCATACCAAACTGAAGAAACGTTTTACAGAGTCTATAGCAACACTTTCAGTGTGTTAGTTTGCTGACTATAACGGTTCAGCACTTTTTAGTGTTTACCTTTTTGGTGTTATGGGTTGGAAACTAAACCCATGCCATACTTCATATCCAGATCCAATTAAAATTAGAAATTACTAGAACGAGGGCGCAATTTTGTCGGAATCAAGCCACAGGTAAAACCTTTGAAATTTATATCTTCCTACTTTATCTAAGCAGTTACTTAAGCTGAGTGACACAGCATCTGACACAAACGGTATCACACAAATATCTTGTCCTATTTCGCTATCTAAAGCATTTATAATGTGTAGGTAAAATCCATTTATTCACTGAAGGGATGTTGGTTACTATGAAGCATCTTACCACGGTTATATTTTCCGATCTCCTAAAGAAAGATTTTAAGCTGCTTCGACTTGGACTGACCATCATGTCTCTCCAACCCCGCTGGAGGATTTGGTAATGAACCTGTGCAAACGTCATTTAAATGCATGTGAAAAGATTGCACATAAGGTTTTTATCGACTCCACACATCAGTTACACGCAGATTTAACTTCTTGTTTCTCCCATCCTTCAACTAGATCCCAATACTGTTGTGTTTCCTCTCGAATAAACATATATCGTAACTCTACAGTACCCTCATTAGCACATATTTTAGTTATCAAAGAACAGGTTTTCACAGACTGTCAACAGTTTTGGGATTTAAATCTCTTTTTGCTTCATTATTATTTTTATTATTTTCTCCCTCGCTCGAACCTGTATATTTTTAGGTGAAATGTCTGCTAGAGGCCTACAAAAGTTATTACAATACAATACAATACAGTAGACTACGCGAAGCGATCAACGTTGCGGCAGCCAAAAGTTCGTTAAATAAATGTTTTTGAGGGCTGTGAACTGGAAAACTGTAACTTTGCATTCAATTGTATGTGTTCACTAACGTAAACTACCATCCCTTCCAACAGACTGGTATTTTGTTCCCGATATGTTTGCTGAAATCGCTGCGTGAGTTGACGCAGGCATAATTATCTTCAAGTGTTGGATACATAGTGAGAAGACATTAGGTAATAAAAATGAAGGGCGAATGTTAATGAAAATGAAATAGTTTGATAAAGTTCTACAATTTTGTTATTATTATTCAGTGCTTTTGTTAGCGTAATACCTTGAATTCTAGGGTGTCTCATGACTTCAGCAATACCAACAGTAAACCACTTCAAAAATAGATCACTGCAGACTTGTTTCTCAGTGATAGTACGCTCATAGTCAGAAGCCATCTGACAACCATTCAATCACTGTCTGGTGGATTTTGATGGTAACGCTACAGTAACAGTTGGCAGCTATTTCACATGATATTTAGGAAAGCCCCTGAGATCCAAGCGGGCTGTGTCAAATAACAAGACTTGGATTCAATTTCTGAACAATGCAAGCATTCATTCTTTAGCACCAGGTGTGCTGTGCCTTTGCGGCTTTTAAGTGATGCTTCACATGTTGACTCTCTCCCTACTGCATATTAAAATAATTTAAGCGCTCCAATACCAAAAACGCGAGATTCACACCGTAATATGTTGTGAACTATTTTTCAAATTTCATTTATCTTCCGAATTTTACGATTTTAAAATATACTGCCGAGTGACATTTGGCTAACTTCCCTCTGCAAAATTTATAAATGAATTCTGAGGCCTGTAGTACTCATGTAAATAGCGGTAAACAATTAAATCCACGGTTTCGCGCTGTGACTTCTGTTTTGCCTTTTAAAGCGCTTTTGTCAAGTCACTGAATAGTCCTCTTCGACTTAAAATGCTTCTCCAGGCAGATAAAGGTTGGAAGAAGGCGAAGGATGCTTGTATGGGGACTTGGTATGACCAGTTCACTTTAGTATCTAGATTCCATTACGCATCTTGATTGTAGAAGTTTGGACCAGTTTAACTGAGAGCAAGCGATAATGGATGAAATATTTGTGTTGCAAGCAGTGGCGATGGTGCTTACATTCACGTAGTTTGCTTTCATGCTGCACCTCTTTCATAGTATTGCTTTTAGCCTTTCACTTTCTCCATTTATCTGTTCACCGTTAGTCGACCAAAAATGTAGCTAAAAAGAACAATCGAAACCATCACGCTAAAAGACACATTAATTATGGTGATATTTGAACTAAACTAAACTGAATTGAACTGAAACCAGTTCACGTTTTAGCAGTTCTTATTACCTTGAAGATATTTGATATTCTCATTTGCAAACTATATTCGATACATTAACTAGAGAAAAGAATTTTAATAAGTGCAGTCAGGATGACGCCAAAAATTAAGATTTCTTTTAACTGGGAAGATAATTGATTAGAATTTAAATTTCTTCCAAGTAAGACACGTGAACTGGCTAGCCACTGTTAATGACCATCACCAGAAAGTGCACAATAAATAAAGCCACGCTAGCGGTAAAGCTGGTGTAAGTAGTTTCTGTAGCAACTGAGTTATAAATCTGCATTAGGTTGTTGTTTGAGTTCAAAAAACATCATTTTCAAAACTTTCTCACTTGAATAGGACAAAAACTATGGTCAATAATGTATTTAAAAATCCAAAAAATAGAACGAGGCAACAGTAGTTGAGGTCATTTGTTCGTTTGATTTCAGGTACCTGAGCTGTTGGCTGGCTCAACAGCATGCCTGTCGAACTGAGGTCATATAGGACTTATTACGACAAATTCGAAGGTTTAGTTTACCGGCTATCATGAGTGAAGCCTAGAATGTACCTTTTTGATTTTTTATCACATCATGTAAAAAAACGAAAAGTGCTTTTTCAGGCAGTTCTTTTTATGTAGCGGGTGTAGAAACAATACCGATTAAGTCTTAGAAGAGAAAACAGGAGACAAAATTTTCGAAGGTTGAATACAAAAAGCAAACAGTACATTAGTTGCTCGAATATTGAATGATAATTTAGCTAAAACAGCATTTCAGTACGCCTCTTTAACAAAGGAAAACAACAATGATCCACCCCGGTGTTCTCAGCTATTTATGCTTTCGAAAGCAAGACAGTTTGATTCTCCAAGCCCTAGCAATAAGATTTGTTTTTAAACTATACTCTTGAAAGTACCTAAGCGCTTCACCTTAGTTCTAAACACACAAAAACTAGTTAATAGCAAAAATACATCAAAATGGTGCTCGAAAGTTATCATGTTAATAGTTATTAGGTAACTAATGTATTATTATTGATTTTTGTATTACTCGGCCGCGACAGATATAAAACGTTACATTTTCGTATATATACGGACAAAAGATCAGCAGCAGAATGATTTGTGAACACACGCAGAATCAGATCAAGAAGTTATTTAAACTACATAATAATGCACTAAATTGTTCAATTCTTTCTGAGTAGCTCTGGGTTTTCTTTTTGACTCGGTACAGGGAAACAGACAGCACATGAACTATGGGTAATAATATGGAAGAGAATGTTGTGTAGTGTTCCTTGACGAACTTCACTCTAAATTCTTTGCTAACAAAAACACTTAAAATCTAGTAATACGAAATCATCTTGATCGTCTATCTAGATGCATAACCAAACACTGCTGTTGATTAGTAGCTACTAAGTAATCCAGTTTCAATGCATATGAACATTGATCGACATCCAGCAATAGCATTTTTGAAGTTCACTTAATAAACCAATTGAGAAATCCTTTATTCCACAAAAATTGCGAAAATAAATCCCAACAGTGAGGGTTCCGCTTGAATCCAATCTGACTGAAAGGACTCTTGTTTTGTTATTTAGTTTTAATTGGTGCACAGAAAAACTCTGATCGAGAATGATTTATTTTTCTATTATTCTACATCGATCTCCATGCTGTGAATAAGTTTACCACAAGGACCTCATTTCTACCATTCACATAAATATGTAATCGAATTTTCGGCCGGAACTTTATTCTTCCTCCGATTCTGAGTCAACGAACTGGGTTCCACAACGAAGTTACTGTCTGTGTCCAAACAGACGCATTGTTTGAAATTAATTGTCAACAAGGAGGACTTCAAAATGCGAATGGTTCTCATACTGGACTTGCAACACAAAAACAAACCGATCAATGTCGCGTTAATTATGGTCAACTAATTCTGATAGTACATTTATGTCGGAAATTTTAATTGTACTTTCTGTATACAAGTGCAAACAAGGGCTGACTATCGGAAATGGTGAAAAGCAACGACTGCATCCAGTTTATTTTCGGGTCCGACTGTCAACAGCTTAGCAATGAATACATCAGATGCATCGATGAGTTCGATACTTCATTGCCATGGCATCATCCACTTTAAAATGAAATGGCCATGATCCTTGGAAATGACGGAATTATCTACCAAGGAAGACGGACAATTGCTGTTAGGTAAAAAATAAACCATTTATCTTTAGATTGCAATTTAAAGTGCAAAAGAGTTGGATACTGTGCCCACTTTACTTAAAGTGATTGAAAACTGTAGATAGTTTAGTCTCAATGCTAAAATCCGTTTGCCTCTTTGGAGCCAGAGCGATTTCCGACATACAGTACAATGAAACAGATATTTTATACACTGCCTTATCTATGAAGCACGCAGTAGAAAACCCAACCGATAAAAAGCTCTGATAAAGAAATTTCGAAGGATGGAATAATTACGATTAACCCTGGATTATGACCCTGAAAGACCTTAAACCCCGTTTATTAGGAGCTCTCAGTTGCATACAATTTTATTATCTACAATCACTGAACGGTTTCTAAAAGTGTTCATTACTTCGATTTTTTTAAGCTAACTACTCTCTTAATGAACAAGAAACGCATTTCGCACTTGTTTTAAATTTAATCTTGCCTCCATACTTATGGACATAAAATCATTCTCTATTATGCCCGTATTTCAGTAAATTGGATAACATGGAATGTTTTCCTTCACATATCAGCTAGCAGTGTTTTTCTTTCATTGCACTCAACTATTTTGTCACTCCTTGATTTTCTTTTTTTCGTCAGTTTCCAATGTTTCTCATCTAAAACTCTCAAAATTTACCCTTTGAGGGGATCATGTTCATTCAGATCTAGCTTTTTCCTAAACTATAGGATATTCTGACTGCTCATAATGTTTGGTTTTTGCTCATAACTTTTTTCTAAAGGTAATGATTGGTTTAATATCTTTCTAATAAATATTACCTTAATCACAGAATATTACATCTATGAGCAGTGATGCCCTTCGGCGTTTAACGTGATGAAGTTAAACGTTGGCTCTTTTAAACGTAGATAATTCTCCTTTTGGGACTTGTCAATTTTTCCTCCTCCTTGTATATTTAAGTTATTTTGATGGATTCAGTTAAAACAATTTGGCCTAAAACTCGTATATTCATTGAAGTTTTGTCCAAAATAAAGGCTAAAGATTGAAATGTAGTGTTAACTACTTTCAATCAAAGAGGATATTTCTTGAGACCAGAAAAGCTTCGTACACTAAAGTTATCAAATACAAGCATCTTTTTCTTCACCTGAAAGTTACCTCATAATGTTGTTATTTTCACGCTGATATTGATTGCGGATTTTGAGAGCTGTTCCCAAAATTAAATATCCGAATTTCTTTCTAGTTTTTCTTCCGTTTCGATGTTATTGTATAATGTATGATACCAACTTATGAACACAGGTGTATGCACTTTGTGCCAGTTAATCTGGATTTTATTGTAAAATAATTAATAGGTAGAGTCTGCTTACTTATTAACGCTCTCATGTTTTTTAGCTGGACAAGCTTAATGCACAGTAAAGAAGTAAACCCTAAAAATTAAAAAGATTACTACGGGCTGGAGAGCGGGAGGACTATTCTGTGCTTTCATGCAAAAAAGTTACAAACAAGAAAAATGACAAAGTAAAGACAAAAAAGTGGGGTTATTAGCAAGATGCAAATTGCATTACCTTTGTTCGACGTTCTTAAAGTCACTAGGTGAGTTTAGTTTACTGCTTTTGGACGGATCTCGTAAGGAAATAAAATTGGAGAAGAGATTTAAGTGCATGGCAATAACAATAGAATGGGGCCAAAGAACAGTTCCAAGGCAATGGGAAATAGATTAAGTGAGTGAATGCTAGGGACTAATAAGCGATAAGTCAGATGGCTTTACGATGAACATAGTCCAAAAAATCCTAAGAAGCAGAGTACGAGTCCCAAACATGGTCTCAAGATTCCATAGTGGGACATTTTTGAGCATTGTAAAAAGTGAAAGCTCAGATGAGGTGAAAATTGGTTTTGATTCGAAAAGACACGAGATCATTCTGAGCGCATGCAATGAAATGAAGAGAACGTTAGGTAACCAAAAGACGGAAGGGGAAAGTGGAGACCCAGTAGAACTGTAGATTTATATTAAGATGCAAATTAGGAGCATAGAAATTACGCAAGAGTTCATTGAGACTGCTCTTGAAACGATGCCATCATCACGAACCGAAATTGACTCATCACCAAAGATGCTCCGTATCAGAATGAAAGAGAGGCGAAAAGAATCCAAATCATGTAATCATGTAATTTCGAACTCGGTAGAATATTTTGGAGATACCGTGGAGGAAGCATGCGAATTGGCATAGTTGCTTAGGGCGTAAAGTTAAACGTGTTACCTGTAAGTCAACACACCGCTAGTGAATGTGTGACAGGGGAAGCCATATTGGCGACCGCAAAGATCCAAGTCACAAATAAGCTGTTGTTTGTAACCACCGGTTCCATTGTCTGAGAGATGGACAAAATTATAGAGTGGTGGGGAAGTAATTGTATGAACCACAGGATAAACTTCAATTAGGGGCGGTAAGGAGTTAAAAAAGTTAGACAGCTGGAAAGTGATCGCAGTAGAAAACGAAGGAGGAAGACAAGCTCTTGCACAAAAGTACTGAGGCTGGTTGGTGGGACGCTGTCTAGGCCTGGTGGCTTAGATGTCCCTTGCAGACGAAGTGCTAGGCGGACAATCCTGTTCGTTTTCTTCTGCGAAAATCTGGGATCATATTTTGTATTAGTCGAGAAAAATGGGTTGGAGGAAGGTTCGTTAAAGTTGAATGTATAAAGAGGAGCATATGCTTCAGGTTTGGAAAAAGATCAGGGGCCAGATTGCCCTGAAAAAATATTAACTAGAGGAATGGATGATGAACAAAACATGCTGGACACCGCTTTGGCAGGGAACCAAGCGAAGTGTTTACTTTACAGACAGTTGGTGAATGTTATCAATAAGAACAAATTACGGTTTTAAAGTTTTATCGATAACTCCATTGAAGATGTGTATTCATTAGGGACATACTATTGTACTTATTGGTAAAAACTCATTTTTTTATCAAATACCTACAATGGTGGTAAGGTAGGTAATACAAGGTCTCTACTTACTTTTTCACTATGGTTGTTAGTTTACAAGAATTTGACTATTTTAAAAATACCGTTTTACCAAAACGTCATTCCTGAAAATCCTACGTGTCACGTATTTACTCTTTTAGACGCCTCCTATCGGTCGTCGCATGTTGCCCGCCTCTCCACACAGAATCTCAGTTTCCAATAGTGTTCCAGGCCGTCAAAGTAAATCCAGAATTATGTGAAATTACACTCTTTTCATAATGACTTGCGTGAAACACCATTTTATTTACCTCAACTGGTTTATTTTATCACATTCGATAAGAGGTCTTTTGAAATATTTCTCTTTGACGATGATAGATTTTTCTGGTTTGTTATTTTATTAAATTATCACCAGTTATTTAACGTGATTCATTCCTCGAAGTTGCATTATATAAATGTTTTTATCTATTTGAAATTGAAAAATGTAATGCAGAAGTTAAAACGTGCCTTGGGTTTCTCTCTCGCAAGCCTACTGGAACTATTACATGTTATTTGGTTCCAGAATGCTGATCAAAACAGCTTTTCAAGGCCATTTTAGTTAATAGTTTTAACTTTTAAACTCGCTTCCAAAAGAAGAAGAATCTGTCTTTTTGGCAGGACTTCCCTAAATTAATAAATCAAAAGGAAAATTCGAGATTTTAAGATGAATATTACGTTCTTACAATTTCTTCTCAGTGATCCTCAGGCTGACTGAATGCCTCATCTTTTGTTACTTGCTGGTAGCCGTAAGCAAACGACAGTTTGCATTCCCTGATTGTATTTGCGGAGAAGATTATTTTGTCCCAGTGCTTCATAGTGTCAAAACAACTAAGTCAGTTTTAGAAATATCCACCTGCGCAAATAGCTACCTGCTTTATATTTTATGCATTTAGTACCTTGTGTGGAATTAGTCGGCACCACATTTCCAAGCCGTGAGTGAAAACCCCGCAGAAAATATCCACGTTTAGCTCAAAAAGTAACATCGTTCAATTTTCGGCGAGTTGCTGTACGTCTTTTATGACGCCATCATTTGAGTAGACCTAGAAGGTCAGACATAAAGAAGCCACAACACTGGAGTTTTTGATCTTTGTCTTTTATTGCTCGCATTGTCCATGAATACTGTTGGTGTCGTCATTTATGCTCTCACTTTCGGCTTCGTGCTGTCAGCTCCCCTTCCTGAAATGAAGGCATCAACATATAGATCTTTCAAAATGGGGCTGTTTGACACCGGTTTACCGTTTGATATTCGACAGAGTGTCCGCAGGTCTATCTAGTTAAATTATTTCAAGGTGACGCTTTGCAGAACAACTCCTTGTTTTGATCATTACAAGTCATATTCCCAAAAAGCGCATACCGAAAAATAATGTTTTCATAATGTTCGTCATAAACTGCGTTTTGAGTTATTCTTCATGACCCGGAACTAACAGCCAACGATCGAGTGAGAGACCCGTATTATTAAAATATTCTTTAACATGAATAAGAATTGTCGCCGTATGACCGTTATTAATCCAAAGCGGTTTTTCATTCAAACATTTTCTCAGCATTATAGCAATACTAAAACGTCTGTACCATAATGATTCATTTCTCAACTGGCTGGCTGATAACAGCTTCCCGTTTTCAAATCACAACGTACATTTTGACTATTTCAGAAGAATACTAATATGTCTAATGATCATTTGTGACTTACGACATTATTTAACGTAAATAGTAGGTAACCCAGCACGCGATGTTCGGTAAAGCAGGTATTAGATGGAAAAAAGTTAAGGGTTGTCAAACTCAGACCTGGTTTGAGGGATTGAAAACCCTGATCAGGACACTTGGTCATATAGGTCGCGTCAGGCTTCCTGGATGAGGACCTCAAGTTCATTGCAATCAATATTGAAAGATACTGAGTTAGGTGCCATGATCGATCGCAAAGAGTGCAACTCATGCATTCACTTCTTATCCTGGCGACCTTAGTCTGTATGAACTCGATATCTCTTCTTTGACTCTGCTCTCAACATTTCAGTCTACCTTCTTCTTCTTTATTCAAATGGGCAGTTATAAGACAGTAACCAAAACGGCTGCATGAAAGTACGTGACCGATGGATGTAGAAGCTGCACTGAAACTGAAAAACGTATAAGGATTGGCAATTCACATAAGCATCGCTATTTCTCTGAATGCAATCGTATGTTTCACAACAGAACTTTTATGAAGATTTGCATCAAATTTACCTGTAGTCACTTGCTTCCTCTTTTAATTTGTATTACATTTCGCATTGAATTTCACCAGTTTTTTATTTTCTGTATGCTGTATTGGTGGTTTTTCCATTTCGGACTATTTTTATACAATTTCAATCAATTTCATCAATCTTTCGAGGTTCTTTAGGAGGATCTTCTGCTTGTGACGGTAACACGTCAGTGGTTCATTCACGCTTCAGACGTCTCTTAGCTTCAAACCCGTAAGTCGAATTGCCGTGTTCACTGTCGTAAACCGAGCGTTTTCACTTTGTTTATATCAACCATAGAATCATTATAGAGCAATATTGCACTTAATGTCATCTACATAGTGCCATATGTATTTATGTATGTATGTATAATTAAGAGCCTGCAGCTCAGAAAGTGGGTGCTTTTAAGATAGGATCAAATGTGCAAATTATTCTATGAAGTACTTGTAAAATATTACTTAATCAGATACTTTATTGGTTGCATTCATCTATCGTAAATATTTTGAGTAAGAGTTAAATGGATTTTTTGAACATTGCCTCATACATTGTTTTTCTCATTATCAGGTGTACATCACACCTGTAAAACTGCAATATTAGTTCTACGATGAATATTGCATTGCCGTTGTTTGGTTATATCATTCTTTCTCCGTTGCATTTTTAATTTAGTCAATAAATATATTGATCGGGAGTCCCCATGTTTTGGAACCAAAAATGAACGAGGAGATTTATTTTGTTTCCTCTGTGATATATTCAAAATGACTTTTGCAGGCTACGGTCGGTTGAACCTCTGGATAGGTTTTCAAATGGCAGTGCTTAACGTCTACTCACTCCAAAATTTTCTTTAGCCTGATTCCACCAATGTCACCCACCGTGTTGAATTCTACTGACGATCAGTGAGTACAGTCATTCCTGGCGCACCCATCAGTAGTGTATATATAACATTTGCAACTTAGCCTATCGGCGACGAGCAAACATGCAAGTCAATTGTGCGTATATATAAATAAACATAGGCGCTTTTCAGTATTGTATTAATAGTGGTTTTGGATGATCGACGAATTACAGAACATTCATAAGTGCGACCTGCTGGCTTATCTGATACCTATCTGTACGAAATAAGGACCTCATCTTAAATTGAAGTTGCTTGATTCTGCATCTCACTTTGTTTTGTTTTTTTAATTTTATTCCATTCGTTTTCTCATGCTTGGTTTTCTAATGATTCTTATTCACTATCTGAATGCTGCAAAAGATTGTTTTTTCGCCATGCTATCACTCTAAATGAATCATTGCTTTATCGAGCTTACTCATTGTCTGCATTCATATATCCGTGGTGCTTATGAGTATGATTGGTCTATTGTGATTTCATTTCGCTGCGGACAGATAATTACTCACTTGTATTGCCTACTTGTGTCGCATTGTTTGCTTTCAACCGCTATGCGATTGCTTTCCCTATGGGTATGGATCATTCGCATCCATGATGCATTTTGGTCACCAAAGTTTGTATATCGCTTTTTCATCGACTTCGCCCCCATGATTTCTAACCAGCTTTAACTGGCTTATACGCCATCGGAATTCCACTTGTAGCAGCCGTACATCCAAAGAGACTCGGATATCGGATTCTAGACAACTCACTGCTCGACCTCGTGTTTACTCACCTTCCGAACATTTGAAGATACATTTTGATCAAACCGTAAACTTCCGGTCAGCCTTACCGGTCGATGTGAATGCTGATCAGGTGCAGAATAAAAGAGATGAACGTGAGTGGCACACTGCTTTTCACGTCCCAGAGCCTCGAGGACATTCGGTTGTCAATGGGACTGTGATGACTTCCATTTCGTCAGATCCGGAATTAGGGCAAATTCATGAAAAGTTGTTCACCCTATCGGCTAGCTCACCAGACTCCACAGAAATCTCAGTACGTATGGCTTCTGAACAGACTCCTAAATCTGAATGCATGTGAGTATCATCTCCCGGTGTCCAGATTATATCCCATTAAATAAATTGGACTGAAGCTTTCACTGCATAACTTTGGTTTTCGTGCCCTGCATTCTGAACAGTCTAAAAGCGAAAATTTGAAATAAATCAGTTATTGATCCGGGGAGTAGTGTGATATAAGGTCTTGATGACTGCCCTCATAAAATCTCTGTTTCAAAGGTTTATGAATATATAATGCTGTAATTTCATTGAATCAGAAAGTCATAAATGAAAACAATACAATGTCACTCCCCAGTAACTAGACCGATTTTGAAAGACCTGATGCGGTGGTTCAAACTTCCACCATTTTGTGAGCATCCAGATGCTATCAGTAATGTAGACTGCTAACACTGACAGATAAAAAAACTCGATTTCCGACAGATGTTTGTTTTAAACTCGTGTGTGCATAACTGGTGGATGAGGTATCTCGACATCAAAGTTCTTCGTTGGTTAGGTTGAAGTACATTTAACTTTCACCCTGATAACTACTTTGATTTGTTACTGTCATGAATAGTTGCCAATCTTCAGTTTTTTCACAAAAAGGATTCGTAACACAGAGGCCAGCGAACAAAAGTTCCACCTTTATGGTCCAAAATGGACGCATGAAATATCGTATTGATTAGTGCCCGTCAATTCGTATAGATCAATCTATATTTATTAGCTATCACAGCTATCCGGTAACAAACATTTGGATCAATTATCTTGCGAAATGCTTTACTTGAACCTTGTAGCTATTTTCAGAGCTATAGTGTTTGTTATTGAAACCGAAGCACCTTTCATTGATGATGAACGACTCTGATTCGGTGTTAACCTTATTATGATTTTAGTGCTGTTTCACGCACATCCAATTTTTAGGTTCGTTACATTCGATTCTGTTAGCTCTTTATAATCATTTCGATCTGCACTGCTATTGGTACTATTGAGACAATGACAATGTTATTGGTGTTTACTTTTTCTCTCCAATGATAGCGCTGTGATTATGGTTCTCACTAATTTTTTAATAAGCTCTATGCTTAGAAGGAGAAGAAAGTGTAGCTTTTTCAATTAAATTCCATCAGAACCCCTTACCGGTGTCAAGAATTGACCAAGTTGGTTGTTTCATTACTTCCGACTGTAATGTTTTTTCAATAAAAGTTTGGCTTAAGAACCGACTCGCAATCACCGATATTATTCTGAATAGAGTGCTTAAATAAGAAGTCAACTTAGTTTCAACGGACTCTGATACTCGAAAACCGTGTTTTGGGGGCTCATTAGTTGCTCTGCTACGCACTGTCTTCATAAAGAATGAAACTTCGCTTCAGGGTGAATCAACATCATTTCAACACTTGGAGCTAATCAATGCAGAAACAACATTTTTCAATATCTTATCGTGTTGTCACTCCAATCACGGTTCTTTTTACAGTATGGTGAGCTAGACATGCAGTTTTGAACCATATATGTATAACCCCTGTTTTATCATTTTGTTGTTTATCTTCATTCCGAACTTACACAGATGAAATTGATAATGGTGATGATGATGCCTACTGACGGCTTTGATCAAAATATTAATCATTGTCAATATTGCAGGCATGAATCTGCCCCCACTGTCGCACCTTCACATATTTCCTTGCCGGAGTCTGGGCAAGAAATACGACCCAATAATTCCGTACGACGTCACCTACCGTTTCGATTTTCCTATCCAACTCGGTGCGTTCCGTGCCACGCATGCCTGCTTGCAAGCTTGAACACATGAATGTCACTAGATTTGCGGCGGGTGATTTGCTTTGTTTGCACCCCATATGTTTGCTCCACGTAAACTGAACTGTGGATTCACTTATTTCTTCCTAATTTCTCCCTTGCCTACACACGCGCGCTGCTCACTTTTAGACTTTCGGTAAATGAGGTTAATGAGGTATTAATCTCTTTCATCCTGCTATCCAATGTTCTTCAAATTCACTACCGCAAACAGCACTTCAATTATATGCACGCTCGTCATTACAGGTATGTTTGTACTCCATGTATAGTTGATCAGATCCCTGTATATTTCTTCTTGGTTCAAAGTTAGTTCGAAATGTTTTTGATCGTGTCATAATTCGGGAGGTGATATTAACATTATCGAGTTGAGATGTTCGAAACAAGCCTGCGAAAGTGGGTTGTCCTCTATTGTGTATAGACAAAAAAACAGTGTGATAAGTTACCCGGTGTTCATAGGAGTGATATGCTTGCTTTCAACTTTTAAAGTCCTGGGTTCTATCTTGAAATGGGTCAATTCATTTTAACTGTGGCTGAGATCCATCCAACTGAAAACAACATTACATTTCACTTCTGGCTTCGTTTGTTGCATGATGGATTTCACAATGTAAATAAAATTTGCTGTTTTGATTGTCATCTAACAGATGATGGATTGCGAAAATATCAGCAGCCTTCGTGGGACTTGAGCCCACCCATGGCCGCCTCATACTATTTTCTCTTGCCCACCCTGTACCAACTGAGCTACAGAGCCACTCCAACAACACTAATTGTTCAATGTTTTGATCACCCACTCAAATTATCTACTTACCAGGGAGAGATGTTGCATGTCACTTGGCGGCTTCCATATGCACGTCTAAGTTAATTAGATGATCACTGTAATGCGCGGATTACTGCTGTCGGTGTCACCACGTAACTCAGTTGGTCGAGCGTGCGCTGTTGAAAATCGTAGGTTGAGTCGATGTATGGAATTGAGTACTACTTATCCGTCTGATCTTTTCACAATTGAAAAAATCAACTAAAAGAAGATTGCCATGTTTGAGCGGTCGTTTGAGCGTTTTTTCAATCTATCTCAATAATCGACAAAATAGAAATTGATATCCATTACCCGACATCGAGAGTGCATGATGTTTCTACAGTTGTTGAAAAAACATGACGTTGGGCATCAATTTTCACGTATCAAATCTAGTTTCTCATGACGTTTTATGGAAGCTGTATAAGTTTGGGGGTAATGCTACCCTATATAGGACACAATGAGTTAAGAATAACATGATTCAATGACAAATGTTTGAGGGCAGTTTTCATTTTGATAGATTTCATCAACAATGCAAATCATTTGATAAAATTGTTCCACATTTTCAGTTCACGCTCGCTTTACCCTATTTATGAGGAAGCTCTCCATGAAATGGAGATTTAATTATCCATCACTCCATTTCAATATGATTGTTTGATTTGTCTAAAATGGTTTCACATTTTTCTATGTTTGTTTCTCTAGTGCACAGTTTTTATAGTAGTTCCATACATCCATGAAACGCCCCGACTATACCTTTATTCCTCAAATCTTGATGCCATCTTGTGGTAAAGTAGAAAAGGTGTACTTTACTTCAGTCATGGGTCAACCCAATTTCAGTCGTTTTCTCAAAGATCCATAAACATACCAACCAACAGGTAACTGCAATACCTTGCTGGGCTGCACCTTGAAACTCTATGTTTTCTATCAGTTCGACTACATAATCTGCTTCACTATTTGTTTTGATTACTTTATCGCTAAATGAGGCAAAGGGGTTTTAGAACAGAACGTATATTTGCGGTTGACTAGTACAAACGGGTCTTAGTTTTGAATTTTCAAACATCAATTTTTTTCTAGATCAATATTATTGTTATCGCGACATTTAAGGTCATGCCACTTCAAACGTTGATACGCAATAAATAAGAACACTGCAGTGGAAGATGTTATTATATTATATTTCACCCGTTGATTTATATCTATGATATGGGGAATTGAAATGCATTTATAAGAAACATATTTGTTGAAATAATCCCAGAGAGCACGTTTTAAACAAAGCAACACAGTGGCGAACAAGCTCGTTTTTAGAGATTCGTAAGCATGCCAATACGTCTCGTTACAATCATTTATCGCTACTTGGGAATAAAATTCTCTTGGAAAATTTGAAAGATCACAACACAGATTATTAGAAACGACTTCATCATGAGCCCAAAAATCGGATTCACCACCACTCATCCGATCATCGGGATTATTCGTAATACGGCTTGTGTGTATTTGGCCGGGGAAGCTAGAGCGTCGGCACAAATTGTTTTTGGGCACACGAAGTGGGGTTGTGTGGACCAATGCCCACCGCTTCTGTCGAGTCCAGCATCCGACAGCGAACCTAACTCGATAATCGCCCATGAACTTTAAAAAAGAGGCAAAAAGCCTCCGTAAAGTCCATATTTCCAGAATGGGAATCATGTTTAACGAGTTCGATTGATACATGTATATACAAGAGCTATGAAAGCTCATTAAACCATATTTTTTACACATTATGTCTGCAGCCCTAATGTGCAGTTTACTGCTTGTATTTCATGTTGATTCTTCTTCACGAGGTACCAAATAATTTCCGACACTCATGTTACTGTAATAAGCCTTTCAAATTACTTCTTTTTGAAGGAGACTGTTTAACTGTATTGTATTTGATTAGTAATTGCGGTATACATAACAACCAACCATCAGCACATCACTGAAAATGAAAACAAACGTAGTCTACTGCCCAGGAAACCTACTCCAAACCGTCCCTGAAAATTGGACATTTCGACTGCATTAAGCACAAATACTTCTCACCTATGACTCAAGAGGATATCAAATTGATCACCTGGATATCATCGGATACGCAATAACAATATTCGTGCAGATTTCAATTCCAGCGCACACCACGAAGTATAGACAACACCTCCTTTACCTTACCTCAAAACAGGCCAATGTTCTATTGATCTTACGCCAATGCAGTTTACACCTTTTGAACTTAGCAATCTTTAGTCGTGCAGGCTTCAATGTGTCCACTGATGCTGTTTACTAAACGCTCTTCATCATTTGTGTTTATCTTGCCTGGTGAGTACAATATCACCTTAACTTATCTTGAGTAGTTTTCATGCAAACAGACCTAGGAAGCTAATGAAGAACCCATAATGCCGATGAATGGCTTATTGAAAACTCCGGGTTCTATTTTTATTCAGTTGTTTAAGGCAAAAAGAAGAGATAAGGTGTGAGGTACAAGGGTTTCACTGACGTTCTTTGATCGCTTCGTAAGACATACCGCTTGTGTCACAGTTGAAGTCAAAACAACAATGAGCAATGTTGTACTAAATGAATTGGGTGGGGAGGAATGCTAGAACAATCAAATGTATGCACTGTGACGGTGAGCAGATGCCACAGATTACTTCTGGGCAGAGATTTTCGAAGCTCACTCTCTATTAGCTTGCAGGAATGACAATGAAAAACACGATGACAAAGACAACCATATCAAACCCGATTTCTTTGATTGCAGAAAACACTCTAGAAACGTGTCGCCCCTTTGACCCAATCTAGTCATTTAAAACGTACTTTCATAATCCAGTTTCGAAACAGTTGATCTTTATAAAGCACTAGTCGGCTGATTTACAATTCATCACTCTCTAGCCGTAAGAAACTGATCCGCAACGTCTGCCATCCTTTAGGGAACCACCGAATAAAGTTAACGAAGTGCTTATATCTCGTAAAGCACTCTTTCCGTTTTGATCAATTTTATTCCTTCTTCCAATCAGTTCAGCTGACTATCGAGACAGGTTATTCTAAATTGCTATCCGCTGACTTTCTATAGACTACATCTTTCAAAGAACCATATTTTGTTGATATTTCTTGTTGCTCCCACAGCTTCACCTAATGCATAAAAGGAAACAAATTTAAGCGGGCATAAATAAATTAACTGAAGCTGTTTTAAAGGCTTTGCATTGAAATCAAGCAATATATTGTGCAAAACTACATGACATGCGGAATCCCGTCTTATGGTATCTACCGAAAACATTTGTAGCATTGATATTTAGTCATACGCTAGTAATTGATGGTACATGTTGGTCTGAGAGCAGGGTAAGAAGTTAGTTTTCTGGGGATGAACTTATCACAGACTACAAATTTCCATATTCAATTATCAGTAATTTGATTGACCGACTGTTTTGTTGACGGTATTTTAACTGTGACAATAAGCTGCATAAGTTTTCGGTATAATTTTGAAGACAGTAATATTGACGATCGTCAAGGTGTTTTCATAACAAACTCAGCTTAGTTACATAAGATGGAAATGAAATGATAGATTTTCCCAATTGAAACCGGTTGACAAGGACACGCAGAGTATTAACAAATATGGGGATGAAACTGAACTAATCATTCAGGGCATTACGGAATCGCCCTCGAGTGTGCCTTACTACAGAACAATAAAAACGAGATTATTATCACCGTGATCTGAAGCACACATCTTCGCCAGTTGGAGATTATTTTTGCTTTTGAATTTGCTATCATTGATTGCTTCAGTGGTTTTTTCTTCCAGTTTCTGATTTTAGGCGGCGGTTGCATCTGATTTATCAACTCTAGAAACTTTGATAGAAAATCTTTTATCATGTCATCTTCAACGATACTCATTTTTCTTTGTGGTGTTCCTTATTGAATTGTTCGTTCTTAGACAAGGAATATAATAGCAAAAATTTCTTGTCTTCTGCATTCTAGTTTGTACCATCTAGAAAAGTTTAAAGCGTTCCGATTTAATACTGTGGGACCGAAAAGATTGCCTACGATCAAAAGACTGAAAATGTTATGAACCTTCATTTGATTAAACAGAAAGAACTTAAAGTCTGTTAAAGTTTATATGTATTCACTAATTTCTGTTTGAATTTGAGAGCACTGATCTGTTACATACACATCTTTTAATATCTCTTTCCAGTGACACGTAAACAGCATTACAACCATAGGAGATATTTAGGTTATAGATAATTTTGTGCACATTCACTCATCAAGTTTTGAAAGATCCTCTGCAACAAGAGTTGTTTATTTAGTTAGTAATTAGTGGAAGGATAGAAGTTTTACCTCATATCGAAGTACAACTTTTCAGGGTTACCAAGATACCTTTTATTAGAGTTCAAACAGTTCCACAAAGCTCACGAGAACACAAAATGGTCAAACAACCTCGTTTTCAGTGCATATTAATCGTGCCAACACAACACAACCTATAGAATCAGTTAATTATGTGAACTTAAAAAAGGAAAGGAAAATAATAAAAATGTTCAACAGTTTGCATCAAAATTGGGTCCTACTTTGAACGTGAGGAGTAACTTATCATTTTTCTGATGTAACATGTGTTGCAGCCTGGCTTTAGACGTGGGTAAAATATATATTTATTTAAAGTTATTATTTTAACGGCATTACTTTTACGCTTGATTTCAACCTAAATGGAGGAATAAACTGAACCAAATCATGCTTGGTCATTTTAGTCCTAAGGCCTTTCGTAACCATTTGCGGTGCGTCAAACTAAATGTCTTTCTTCTTCTCTCAAGCAAGCCATAAATGTTTGATTACAAGCGATATTTATTAGCGTATGCCAAATAATAAGCTATTTGGCCCAGTTTTTGAAGAGCTGAATATTCTGAAAGCCAAATGTCAACATGATGTTCATGAATTTTGCCTCAGTGGGTTTTTCAGTTGCATTACGATCAACTTACGGACAATCTATTTGAAATATTGTAGCATATGGCAATCTCTTATGTTTACCTTTTGGTTCCTTAGGCTACTAAAACTGCTTTTTCTGATATGATCTTCTTTTCAGCAGATTGCATCTAGATTTCACAGTTTTTTATTGTCATTCGACCAGTGCATATCTGCGCACCTTCTGTCCTATTTTACTATGTATCTTTTTATCATAATTACGATTTTATTCTGAATCTTAGTTTTGATTTTGCGTTAATTTCTTGAATTCAAAACTAATATAAGTTTCGTTTTTATTACTTTGATGTGCGTAAAATTACCAACCTGTATAGAGGAAGACAATCAACGTTAGCCCAATGCTGCCCGTAAAATCAATGAATCAATAAATAAAAAGTAGGAAAGAATCTAAAATTTGTCTTAAAACTTGGAAATTGAAATTTCGTTTGTCACACTACATTCTTATATATTACACTTCTTTCATGAAAGGCTAATAATACCCAGTTATGTTAGTCGGGGTGAAATTCCGCCAGTATTATTTTTCCTTGGAAAATATATATAGTCCAATTATAGCTTTGGGACCTGTAAAAATCCAAAAGTCGGTAAAAACTAAAGGAATCTTTCCCGAACATCAACATAAAACATGATTTTTTGAATATGTTTATTGCAGCAGTATCGAAGGAAGATAACTGTACTGATGTTGTGAATAAAAGAGACCAACTGTTGCGGATGTTTTCATCATCCAATGAAACATCCAAATAAATGGTTTATTATCATATAGATTTGGAATTTGAAATAAAATTATTCTTATAACCATTATAATAATTGTTTCGATAGGTCTCACATTCCATGGTTAATAGACTTGTCAATTGTGACTTTTTATGGTTCGATGATATGAAAAGTCTGGTAAAAATCAATGTCCCTGTGAGCAAAGAAACTAATAATGATAATAATATCCGTCCTTTGGAACTGTCAAGTCACATGAATAGAACACATTTCCCATTTTGTTCAAGTAAAAGCCAGTTATAATAACAAACGACCATGTCCGGGTTGTTGACTGGGAGCGTAGTTACATGTTAAAATTGAAATGTGAGGTATATTGTTTGCCGATTGATTTTAGGGAGACGTTTTGAAATCGAAAAACCTAATCTCGGGAATGATGCTGAGCGTTTACCTGCTCCGTGAACCGGTTCGTCTTTTCTTATGCTCACGGGTGTCACACCGACAACTTTGTCTTTTGATTTTTTGTACGTGCTAGAATTTCAATAATTTGCCTATTGAATTATTTAGATTTGGGATGTTCTGATTTACAAACGGCAATTCATGGTAAATGGTTGATGACTAAGGAGTGCTATGGTTCATTTCAGATTACTAGTATTGCATGAATTTTTATACATTGACGTTCGAGAGGAAGCTCAGTGGACGTGTTATCTTTGTCTAAAGGCTCAGTGCATTGTACAAATAAGCGGCTTTGTTATTTGCTTCGGCTACCACACCACTTGCTGATTTTTTTGCTTGTTGCCATTTCGACCTCTTCACTACTCCCACAACGACAACCACCTTTGTGTATGCAATCTCTGTCTGTCGCGCGCACTCCCAATTGAACAGTGATTTTATACACTGGGACAAAGATATGGTATCCGCTTGGTTGTACGAACTCGGTCTGGGCTATTCGGTCCCGTATACACGTCGATGGCTTCAGCATGGCTCGGATCTGGTCCACGCGTCGCGTAAAGAAATCGAACAGGTATGCAACTCGAGCATCCCAGTGACTCGTTTGCCGACTATTGTTTGTATCCCGGTTAGATTGTGTATGTGTTTCAACCTTCTTGTTTACATATCGAGTGCCATTCCTGATCGTATCGTGGCAAAAGGTGACACATCATGAGTGGGCATGTGTGTCAAGTTATGCATGTACACTAGCTTGTTTGAATGAGTATTCGTCAAAGACTAAATGGGACTAAGCAGCAACAGGAAACTCTTGTACATACGGCTTCAGTACCGATTCTGATGACGTTATTCATGGATAAACTTGGAAGTACTGTAACAATCATGGGAAAAAAGAATATGTTAAATGAAACTACAGAAAGTATATAAGTTTTCAAAACATTTGACATTAAATGTAACAGCGCCAATGACCAGCTGTTTCACAATTGTAGAACAACAAGACGAATAAAATAGGATAGCTACTTCGAGAAAATACAAAATGCGAGGCGTGCAGAAAATTTTTTTATATACGCTGCTATTCTTTATTTTGATGTTTTTGTCTGGTATTTGCACTTAATAAGTGGTTTAACTTGACTTTATTCTTGTGAAAGGCCTACTAACTTAATATGTACCTGTGTATCATTTTATGTGATCCACTTCTTCCGTAGGTATTTGTCTGAGTGCGATCGTCGACTCGGTCGATTACATCGCACCCTACCACTGTTTCCATTTGGGAATTTTAACTTAGAAAAATAATTGACCTAAATTTTT